TATTAAAAGACAAAAAATTTTCCAGCAGATATTCGAAAAAGAGGAAATAAGGAGAACCAAAGAAAAAAAAAACAAACTTCCAAATGTATTTTCAAGTCATAAAAATGATTTCCAGCATATATTTAAGCAAGGGAAAGCAAAGAGGTCAAAACCCGAGCCCCAAACATCTACTCAAAGCACCCAAGCCCCAAACATCTACTCAAAGCACCAAAATATTTCCAGTATTTTTACTCGAATAAAGGGGCAGCAGGAAGCAAAACCAATCCACCAAACAGCAACTCAAAGCACAAAAATATTTCCAATATTTATACTTGAATAAAGGGGCAGCAAGAAGCAAAATCGAGCCACCAACACTGACTACTCAAAGAAAAAAAATGACTCCACCTTGTATTCAAATAGGAGCAACAAGGGGAGCACAAAACAAAGCCCCTAAATATCATATAAATCCATGTGCATCCACTTCAAACTGAAGAAAATTTAGAAACTCAAAACGAAAGCCCCCATCATTAAATAAATCCAAAATTTTCCTTCGAACAAAGTATGAACGAGAAGCTTATAACAAAGCCTCCAACATCAAGTAAATCTAAAGTTCTTGTTTGAACAGAGGATAAATTAGAAGCTTAGAACAAAGCCTCCAAAATCAGACAAATCCAAATACATTGATTTCAAACTGAAGACAACCAAGAAGCTCAAAATAGAAGCCCCAATTAATCAAATAAATCCATAAATCTCCATGTTAAAATAATGTAGCGAGAAGATAGTAATCAAAAAAACTAAAACACTTCTTAAAGTTTCAATATACCTTCCTAGAAAAGAGAATCTGCAACCCAAAGGCTAAACAACCCAGAAATTTCCCATAAAAACTCAGACAACTAAGAGAGCTGCAAGCTAAAAACAAAGATCCAAATAGATTTCTTGAGTAAGGAAACAGGAGATATAACCAAATTAACATATAAAAACCTTCAATAGCAGGTTTTCAGTAGAGCAAACAACAAAACCACTAAACTACCAACAAAAATGCTCAATTAGGTGTTCTCGAGTAAGGCAGCAGGAGATTCCCTCTTTAATTAAAACTTTTGGTAATGCATCGAGGCCAATATCACATGACATAAGGCAATTTTATAAATATTAATCAACAGGTTAACCAACTTGCTGAGCAAAGAAGGCTTCAGATCTACAAAGATTGTGAGATCTTTCATGATTTATTGAATTAAAATCGCATCAGTATTAAAGGCACTAATTGATAGCCGAAGAAAGACTTGAAATAGCAGATTCTTGCCTTTTTCATTGTTATTTAGAAGTCTGCAATGCTTTAAAATAACTAACACCAAATAAAGCACAGTTCATGTAATCAAGATGAACTTCTTGTGAACCTGATTATAATGGAAACTTAACTATTTCCAGCATCTTATATCAAGAGAGGAAAAATTCTTTAGACTGGTAGGGGTAGGAAGTAGAACATCGAATGAGGGAAATCCCTTGAAAAGGGCAAAGAAGAAGAAGAGAACTTACTTCTAAATGTTTCCAGAAAGTGTAAGAAGGTTTAGAAACAATAAGCAAAACAATCTCCAGATCCCACGAATGAATGAAGTTAATCCAGAAAGGAATTGCCAGCCAATTGAACTCCTTCCTCAGTGTACGAAAAGAAAATCAAATCCCAAAACTCTCTCTGAATAGCTCATAAAGAAAACCTCAAGCCAAGAAAAAAATCTTCAAATCATCTAATAAAAGCTCTCAAACTATGTTTCCCTAAAATCTCTAGAAGAAAAAAAATCAGCCCCTTAAATGCTTCGCTCAAATGGGTATTTATAGTTGGCAAGAGCAAAGGGGTTCATCGACGGTGAGAGAAAGGGAGGTAACGAGAAGCACCTAAAAGGGAAAAGAAATTCATCAAGATTCAAAATAATGGGTTGTCAGATCCATTTGAGCGGGAAAAAACGTTATAAACAGGCTACCGGTGAGGCTATCGGTGATGAGAGCTCGGAAAGGGAGGAGATGACTGGAAGACCGGCAAGGGATCTCTAAGATTCGGTCAAGAGAGGAGGGAAAGGGGTTCGGAAAGGGAGGAGATGACCGGAAGACCGATAAGGGATCTCTAAGATTCGGTCAAGAGAGGAGGGAAAGGGGTTTCAGCTAGGGCAAAGGAAAATAGAGGCACAAGTAGATGTCCTACCTAGCTAAAATCGACGTTCCGGACGCGAGGGTGCAGTCCGTTTCGTCATCCAGGATCATCCGGACAAATTCATCAACAATCATGTCAAATTAACATCAATTCGCGTGCAACATGTCACAAAATTATTTTGACCCGATTGGAGCCTTTTAATGAGTAAGATGAAAACATTGACCGATCCTCTCATAAGCAACCACCAAAGTCAAATATGACGTAAGCAGTGGCAAGTCAAACATCACACGCGCCACAGTGTCCACCTATGTATTTCAAATTTCAATAGGAGCTCAATTTGAGCTTCAATATGTCGGCTTTTTTATTGACTCAATCAAATGTTGAGGATCTGAAACTGTCTATATTAAATTGCAAAGAGAGAAGAAATTGCTTGAATTTCTAAGGGGTGTGGGTCTCAATCTAGTCCTCTAAGAGAGTCAAAATAGGAAAATTTTAAGGCTAGATCCTAGGGTATCTAGAGAATGGAAGACATCAAAATGAGGTCAACAAATGGACCCCCAATAGGTGTGGTGTGCTGCACAAGCACAACGCACCTATTGGCATTGACTGAAATGATCAACCCAATTCCTCAAGATTGTCTAAGTAACCATACTTGGGATAAATCAAATGTCGAGTTTGAATTGAGGTGGAGTAGGATTTTAACTAGGGATTGACAAGCATATCTTGAAATCACTGTCATGGATTTGAATTTTTGAATTGCTTTTGAAATATGTGCAAAGAGAAGATTCCAAATTTGACAATAATATCAAAGAATGTGTGGAAGAATCAATATTAAATCTTATTTCAAAGGATGTAGAAGGATAAGTGAGGCAGAAAGACTATATCAACTCAGAATACCGCTGGGGAAGTTACATCCGAGCTAAAACTAGTCGAGGAATGCCAACTGTTAAGGAGATTATGCCAGATTCCAAGGAAAGGCTATACCATTTCAGGCTACCATCAGGGACATTATGTCCGAAATAGATCTAGTCAATGAATGGCAACCATCAAGAATATTATTTTGAATCTCAAGAAAAGACTATATCAGTTCATACTACCACCAGGGATATTATGCCCGAACTAGATCTAGTCAAAGAATGGCAACCAATAAGGATATTACGCCGAATTGCGAGGAAAGACTATATCAGTTCGGACTACCGCCAGGGATATTATGTCTGAACTAGATCTAGTTAAAGAATGTCAACCATTAAGGATATTACGCCAAATTTCAAGGAAAGACTATATCATTTTGGGCTACCACCAGGGATGTTATGTCCGAACTAGATCTAGTCAAAGAATGGCAACTGTCAAGGATATTACGCCAAATTTCAAGGAAAGACTATATCAGTTCGGACTACCGCTAGGGATATTATGTCCAAACTAAATCTAGTCAAGGAATGGCAACCATTAAAGATATTACGCCAAATTTTAAGGAAAGACTATATCAGTTCAGGGTACCGCCAGAGATGTTATGTCCGAACTAGATCTAGTCAAAGAATGACAACCGTCAAGGATATTACACCGAATTTTAAGGAAAGACTACATCAGTTCGGGCTACCATCATGGATGTTATGTCCAAACTAGATCTAGTCAAAGAATGGTCAATCTAGTCAAAGAATGGCAACCATCAAGGATATTACGCCAAATTTCAAGGAAAGACTATATCAGTTTGGGCTACCGTCAGGGATGTTATGTCCAAACTAGATCTAGTCAAAGAATGGCACTTTCAAAGATATTACGCCGAATTTCAAGGAAAGACTATATCAATTCGGGCTACTGCTAGGGATGTTATGTAGAAACTAGATCTAGTCAAAAAATGGTAACCATCAAGGATATTACACCGAATAAGATGAGAATCAGAAATGTGAGATATCTTATGAAATCATGTAGAAACCTGATAGTCGTATGAATTATGAATATGTGAAGAATCATGTGATGTGAAGAATCATGTGTAATCAAAGAATCATGTGTAATCATATGAAAATCGTGTGTAAATGAAATATGAAGTGTAAAAAATCCAAAGATATATGGAAACATGAAATTTGAAAGTTTACAAGATTGTGAAAGAAAAGACAAAACTTAAAGAAATGTAGGGACAGTCAACCCGGGGGTGAGAAAAACAAATTATTTCTTTAAAGTTTTCATGATTCTAAAAAAATGTTTTGTCATTTATTATTAATTACTTTTTTTATATATGTATATAAATATATTATTTTGAATGTTAATCATTAAATATGTTATTTTACAAATCATTCTTGCTTTTTAGCCTTTCTCAGAATTGAGAGAAACCAAAATTCATTTGTTTTATCAATCAATTGTCCAAATTTGCATTCACAATTGTGAGAAGAAATTCCAATGCATTTTCATTAAACTGTTATGCCAGGAGTGTAATCTGATACCAAATGTAATAATATTTGATTCCATCCGAAAAGACATAATCAAAATATTTTTTGGAACCATATGAATGATCTATATATCTAAATATTCTGTCATACATCAATAATTAGACGCATATCACTGAATCAAATCTGTATATTATCCAATCGATGATCTACTATCAGTATCTATGTTGAAATGGTAAGCTATATAAAGACTAGCCTCACCTTCTAACATATCATCGGAAAAGTAAAAAAAAGCAGCTTTTCCTAAACATGTACTGCGGTGTGTTGTCTTTTAACAGCTTATAGCTCATAAGGCTGTAAATTCTCTAACTCAGGATCAGGCCTAAAATGGAGTGGCACCTTATCTTCATTCATCCTCTTGAGAGTTATAGAAATTCTCGTACACGGTACTTCAGTGTTGCAGTGTTTAGCTACATCAGCACCGTTGCCTTTCAAAATCAAACTGATCCCACAGGTAAAGGGATTTCCACATAACCTCTGAATTCTCCATCACCGACAATCTGGATTTCTGTTCCAAATAGAATATTGCATTTTTTGATAAATGAGACTATGCAAAATGGTCTCGCAAAATCGTGATGATCAACGTGTGGAGGAATACAGTCACCAGCCTCATAGATATTAATTATGCAGCTATTGGGAATACAATCTACTGGCAAGTTGCGCCAAGTTACCAATCGTTTGATCATTCTCTTTATGAATGATGGTAAAGGGTCAACTTCGTCAAGGTGAATTATTCCAGGCCATGCAGATTTTCTTCCTTGTCTTGAGCAAAATTATAACAGCAGCCATACTGTATTGTAACCCTTCCTTTACCACATTTCCACTTTCTGGGCTCGGAATATGTTCTTCTCCTTTACCGACCAGCTCGACCCATGTCTCTTTCCAAAAAGACACGCTCCACAATATCATCCTGCTCACCGCCAATGAACACGTTGGTATGCAGTTCCAATCCTTCAAGTATATTAACATACTTTCCCTGAAGCCTTTGGAAGTGCTCAAAATTATGTTTTCTTACTTTCTCATATTTTTCCAGCTTATGCTCTGAAATAATTTGCAAAGGACGTGTTCTACATACAAATTAAGAAATGTAAGGCTCAATCTCCATAAATCTTTCTTTATTCTTTTCTTCTTTGAAAGTCATCCCTTCTTCAGCTTTCATGGGTTGAAGTGGCATTTTGACTGGCCGATTTGGGTCTTTCCCTTTTAATTTGATTGTCATTTGTGTAATAACTTCTTCATTTTCCCCTTGTTCTTTCAACTGTTCCAACATCTTATGGATGCGGCAATTCCAGCTTCTTTTCTGTGTGCGAGTGAGTGTTGCTTTACCTTTCGGCTGATCATCAGTAGGGGTAGCACCAACAAGCTCACATTTCAAAGTCATTACCATTGATTTGATTTGATTAATCACAGCGTTGCTCGATTCCGCTTCATCAACTTTTTTAAATTTTCTCTTCTTTGCGGCGGTGAATTGATTCTTATCTCTTCTTTGCGGCGGTGAATTGGTTCTTACTTCTAAATCTTAATATAGGCTTTTACCCAGAAAACTCTTCTTTATTAACTACGGCTAAGGCCGAACTCTCATAATCCAATTCAACTTAGTCAAAGTCGAGATCAAATTTAATCACCTCCTCCTTTGAATTTCTCTTTGTCAAGGGCAAATCCCATGCCATTTTTGAAAGTGAAAATTAGTCTTCCTCCTAACATTTTCTTGCACCAAAATAGGAAAACAATAAGTATGTCAGACCGGGCTCAAGCAAGAACAATATGAATTTTTTTTAATTATTTACATATATATATATATATGTATATAAATATAAATTACATAATATATTTCTTATATATACGTATTTAATTTACATTTATGTATATATACACACACACACACATATATATATATATATATATATATATATGTATATATATATATATATATTTACCTTCAAGATTCAGGCTAAGTGGAAGAGAAAAGAGTATCGTGTTATATGCATAGAATTGTACAGATAGAAATTATTACAAAATTATTATTATTATTATTATTCTTTTTTTAAGATATATATTTAGGTACATTTTGTTACAATTTTAGTTTCGGACCCAGTTATAACTAAAACATCAGTGTTTCTAGGAACAAGACTCTATTTCTAAAGTTTTCTCTTTCGAAACATCATGATGCGTAGTACTTTTTAGATATCGTTCATTGACAGGAAGCATAGGTCGTTCTCCTTGACAATCAATTAATTGATAGGCTCCTCCAGAGTAAACCTTCTCGATGACAAACGGTCCTTCCCAGGTTGGTTCAAAGTTACCTCCTATTTTACGATGTGAAAGAATAGGTTTTCTAAGGACAAGAACCAAGTCACTGAATTTAAAAGTCCTAGGGCATACCAGCTTATCATGTGCTTGAATCATTCTAACATGATATAATTCCAGATTTTGTTGAGCTATCAGCCATTTCCCTTCCAAATTTTCTAATTCTTCTAATCGCAATCTGGTGTTCTCTTCAGTAGTAATTTTATTGGCGACAGCAACTCTGAGAGATGGAAGTTGAATTTCTAAAGGTAACACAGCCTCGGACCCATATACAAGAGCGTAAGGAGTAGACCGAGTTGAAGTTCTGAACGTAGTCATGTAGGCCCAGAAGGCCTCTAATAATTGCTCGTGCCAATTTCTTTTGTTTTCATCCAAAGTTTTCTTTAGAATTTGGACGAGAGTCTTATTAAAAGCCTCGACCAATCTGTTAGCCTTCGGGTAATAAATTGTAGAATAATGTCAATTTATTTCGTGCCTTCTGACGAAGTTGTTGATTTTTATATTTTTTAATGCGGACCCATTATCGGATATGATTTTGCGTGGTATTGCAAAATGATAAACAACTTGATTTTTAAAGAACTGCAGAACATGGTGTGCTTTCACTTCTCAAAGGGGTATTGCATCTGCTCATTTGAAAAATAATCCATTGCAGCAAGTATGAACCGATGTCCCTTTGAAGATGGAGGGTCTATAGAACCTACTATATCTGTACCCCAACATTCAAACGGTCATGATGCTATTGTTGGGTGCAGCATGGTCGGGGGTTGGTGCAAGACCACTCCGTGTATTTGACATTGATGACAAATTTTGTCAACCTTCATACAATCGGTCATCATCGTAGGCTAGTAATATCCTAGCCACTTGATTTTCATTTTCATCTTAGGACCTGACTGATAGCGCCACAAAGTCCTAAATGTACTTCTTTAACAATTTATTGAGCTTCTGAACCATTCACGCATCTCAACCACATTTGGTCAAAAGATCTTCGGTAAAAAATATTATCTATTAAAGCATACGACAAGGTTCTTTTCTTTAGTTGATGTGCTACTGACTTATCATCCGGTAACTTTCCTGTTTGCAAATATTCTACAAAAGGTTGACCCTAATCTTCTACATTTCCTATAGCTTCCATTACTATTTCTTCTTTACCCAGTTTATCCAAAGTATCAATATCAATTTGAGATAAAACTTGAAGCCTTTGAATAGCTATTTTGATAGAATTTTCCTGTGGACATGCAAATTCCTTAGCGAGTCTGGCTAAAGCAACTGCAACAGTGTTCTCTCCTTTGGGATTTTGTATATTATCACATTTGGATATTGTTCTAATAGCTTCATTGTATAACGGTGATATTGCTCCAATTTGGGTTTCAAAATTTTATATTGTCCAGCAACCTGTTGAATAATCAACTGAGAATCTCCATAGATATTAATGTTAGTTACATCCATCGATATTGTCAATTTTAACCCTATTATCAGCGCTTCATATTCTGCCTAACTTTTTGTACACGATTCGGTTAGATGGTAAGAATACCTTAACATTCCTCATTCTGGTGTAATGAAGATCAGCCCAATTCCAGCTTTACCAGGTATTATTGTTTGCAATTCTTTATATTTTTGTGCTGAAGAAGCCCCATCAAAATACAATTCCCAACATTGAGTCTAGGGATTTTCCAAATTCATTATCTGTTCATCTCGTAAGTCATCATTGAGAGGAGAATCAGCGGGTAACAGGTGCACTTTGAGGAAATATGCTAAAATCTGCCCTTTCACAGCTTGGAGTGGAACGAAAGTTATATCAAATTGCAACAGTACCATGGCACACCTCGCTAACCTACCGAAAAGCATCAGTCGGTTCATTAAATATTGCAATGGATTAAACTTTGAAATAAGGTTGACTTTGTGAGAAAACATGCAGTGTCAAAATTTCTGGACCGCAAAGATTAAGGCTAAGCAATGTTTCTCGATCGGATGATACTTTACTTCCGTTGGTATTAAATCCGGCCTTAAACGATGGCTTAAATAATAAAGAGCATTTTCTTTACCCTCATCATTGACTTGAGCTAGCAAGGCTCCGATGGAGTCATCCAAAGCCTTGGTATAAAGTATTAAAGGCCTGCCTGAAATGGGTGCTGCCAAAATAAGAGGTGTCGTCAAGTATTGTTTAATAGTTTCAAAAGCACGTTGACATTTATCGTCCCAGGTAAACTTTGCATCTTTCTTAGTCAACGTAGAGAAAGGTTGACACATACCTGACAAATTAGAGATAAAGCGTCTTAGATGCGCCAATCTCCCTTGAAAGGATCATAATTGCTTTAAATTTTTAGGGGTTGGCATTTCTAGGATAGCTTTAATTTTCCCCGGGTCAATCTCAATCTTGCGACGGCGAACAACAAACCCTAGAAATTTCTCAGAAGTCACACCAAATGCGCACTTTAGGGGATTTATTTTAAGGTTAAATTTTCATAACCGCTCAAAAACAATTCTCAAATCATACAAATGATCTTCTTTCTGCTTGCTTTTGTTGACCAAATCATTCACATAACATTCCACTTGATTTAACATTCCACCTATTCACATAACATTCCACCTAATTATGAATGAGGTCATCAAAAATTCTTGTCATTGCTCGTTGATATGTTGCACCAGCATTTTTCAATCTGAAAGTCATCACTGTATAGCAATAAACTCCAATTGGCATTCGAAAAGTTGTAAACCTTTTATCTTCTGGAGCCATTTTTATTTGATTATACCTAGACAATCTATCCATGAAGGAGAAAATTTCAAGAGATGATGCAATATCCACCATTAATTCAGGGATTGGAAGAGGAAACTCATCTTTTGGGCATGCTTTATTCAAATCTCTAAAGTCCATGCAGATTCGAATTTGCCCATGGTACTATATAACTGGTACTATACTAGCCAACCACGTAGGGTATTGTTCTTCCTGTATGAATTTAGCGTCTATTAATATCTTGACTTCATTTATAAATTGTTGTCAATATCAAGATGCATTCTTCTCGGAGCTTGCTTAACTGGAATTGCAGTAGGATCTAGGCCCAATTTATGTACTGCGACTTCTGGTGCCAATCCAGGCATCTCCTCATAACTCTAAGAGAAACAATCTCTAAATTCTGTCAACAGATTAATCACATTTATAGATTCTTCTTCACCAAATAGAGAGCTAATAAAAATTGGCCTCGGTTCCTTTTCGGTACCCATGTTTATTTCTTGTAACTCATCTACTGTTGATTTAATCTCTTCTTCGAATTTTGGTGGGGCATTCTCAATTGCATAATCCTCATAGTTATCCAGAGCTTCCAAACAACTTCCTTCATACTCATTAGTAACAACTAAACAAAACTTTGTATCATCAATAGGTTCTACTGTGTCGAACCCAAGACCTTCTTTAAACTTGAATGTTTGATGATCACTATTCCAAAGTTTTTCAAAATATTGTGATTGAGCTATTGACCATTGCTTAGGCACCATACCTCGTTGAGCAAGATTTTGAACACAAGATGAGTACCAATCAACAGGTAATTCCATTAATTCAGAAGAAAATTATCTTCTAGATCCACATTGATTCCAGAACTAGAGGATGAAGAACCACGTTGAAACTTAATTGTTTTCATACCTGCATTATGTTGACCATCTGACCCTCAATTTTATGAGTAGAAATCAGGGTGAGGGCCATAGTTTTTACATAGCGATTAATCCGATCATACATTGAACCATAATCACATTTCTCTTTGTCTTCTAAATCAATTTCAAAAAGAGGTTTCTTCTAGTTAATCGTCGTTGGGCCTTTCCTTATTTTTTCATCTTCAGAACTATCTTCTAAACCAATGTTGATGATTGAACTCTTTGGTTCAATAATTTTATCATTCCTTCCATGACCTCGTCCCCGGCCTCGACCTTGGATACTAGTTCTAGAGGAACTCTCACCCTCTTGTTGTAAAGCGGTAATAAAAGATTGTAGAATCGGTATTGGATGACCTTATCTTTGTATATCTTCTGGACCCTTTATGTTTCTTGTAATATCATCTTGAGGTGTAACATTCCTTTTCAGAGGAGTATAGCAAGTAGCATCTTCATGAATACCTACTTCATGAATTGAAATTTTGCATCTTCATGAATACCTACTTCATGAATTGAAAATTGTTGTAGATTTCCCTTTATATAATATTCTTGTCCTTCCAAACAATACTTTATGCATTGGTGTAGTGAAACTAAACTATTCTCATGAATCCAGGGTCGGCCCAAGAGAGCATTGAACGAAGTCTCAGGATCAATGATATGAAATTTCACAGCTGTTACTAATTCTCCAATTTTCATCAGTAATGTAATTGATCAAAGAGCTCTTTCCCCTTTCTAGTTAAAGCCTCTTCACATCATCTTATCAGCAGTCAATTATCTTGCGTATATGTCCAAATAGGCTAAAGTCCTTCAACTCATTATATTAATGGATGCCTCTGGATCCACTAATACTCTGGAGAGCATAAAGTTGCCGATGTTGACAGAAACATACAACGAACGATTATGATCAGTAGTTCCAAGTAGCAAATCATCATTTGTGAATGTTATTTTTGCTTGTTCCATTAACGAACAAACCTCATCTGAGGAAGTACTAGCAAGTTGAGCTAAACATATTTCTGGATCTAGCAAAGCTTTTATTAATGCCTCCCTCATTTCCCTTGATAGGATTAGGGCATCGTATATACTCAACTTAGCAGGTAATTTCCTAAGATGGGCTAGTACATTATAGTCCACCTTAATGCTTGTTTCCTTATCTCCCTTTTGAACAGATATTTCTTCGATCGATGGGACTGGATTATCCTAAATAACTGTTTGTTTCATTGCATCCTTTAGACCCATTCTCGGAGGCAATACTTTTCTGTTTCTCAAATTTATTTTTGTCACTTCTTCTATATCATGACTTGACTTTGGAACTACCTCTAAATGAGCTGGAGTAACTAATTCTTCTAGGATTCCTTCCAAATCTGAAGACTCTAACTCTATCGCAATCGGTGATCCATGAAATTCAAAGACAGGTGCATCGTCTTCTGAATCATAATTATTATCATCAATATTTTCTCCTGGCTCACCGTCACATGTGTCAAAACTTTGTACGATTTGAGAATCATTAGAAAGATTGAGATTATTATCGGGGTTCGATTGATTATCATCAATCGCATCATCGGCAGAAATAGCCAAAGCGTAGCAAAAATCAAATTCCATAGCTTTACGTGCCTCTGGAGGAGCAAAGAAGAAATCATACAAAGTCAAGGGTTTGAGAGATTTCTCCCCCAAATTCGTGG